GGGGTAAAAACAGAAGGTGGGTGGACACTTCACTCAACCCTTTGTCACGATGCTTTGATCGTAAGTGTTGGTCTCTCTCTCTCACTTTCTCTCTCTCTCTCCCTCTCCCCCCCTCTCTCTCTCTCTCTTTCTCTCTCTCTCTCTCTCTCTCTCTTTCTCGCTCTCTGTTTGTCTTTGTGTGTTTGTGTGTGATAGTGTGTAAGTGAGTGGGTGTACATGAGTGTGAGTGTACATGTGTGTGTATGTGTGCCAGTTTGTATATACATGTATGTGTGGCGGAGGAGGGGTGATGAATAAGGTGTTCGAAAGAGAATATCACCAATAAATATCAGTATGCGAATCTGCATAGCCAGCCATCTGGGAACAGTTCTGAAGCCAAGATAATACATGTAATGATAATATGTTACATAAAAAGAAAAGAAGAAACAGCGGTACTAATAAATGCACATTCAGCAGCAAAAATGCTTACAACAAAAATAGCAACAAAAAATAAAAGAACAAGAGCTACAAAAGGTTATCATAGAACAAAAACGGAACAAACAAAACTACACAAACAAAAAGAACTGGAAGTAGAGCACGAATAGGAAGAACGAAAGAACATTTTTAAAAGATGAAAATAACCCCCCCCCCCAAAAAAAAAACAACAACAAGCGAAAGACAAAAAACAAACAAGAAAAAAGAAGCAAACGTCCTTATTGGCTAATGGTGGGTAATGGCGCCACTTCGCTCCCAGCCACGTTATTTATGGCGCATGCGCAGAAAGCTTGATTGCGTGCGCCCTGGGCTTCCCGGCATGCAATTTCTGACCTACCGGAAGGGAGCTCCAGAGTTTCCTGTATACATGCGGGTTTTGACATAATCGCGGGCGCTGAGGTATGATTGGGGTAAAGAACTTAGACGGGCTGGAATTGGATTCCAGGGCATGGGAGGTCTCTCAGAGGCCAATGCTGATATGTTCTTATTAGAGAGGAGGTTAGGATGGTGGAGGGTAGAGGTACTTGCTGAGGGTAATCTGGTTGCTTTGTTATATTTTGGCTGTTGTTGTGTTTTGGTTTGATTTTGGGTGGGTTTTTTTTTTTGTTGCATTGTGTGTAGCGTTTTATGGTGTGTGTGTGTGTGTGTGTGTG